ACTCATAAGCTTTTGTTTTAAAACTTCAGCATTTAAGGATTCAATTTCATAAAAGAATGACGTGAGAATCTCATAATCAGATTTAACATTTTGAATAATCTTTGACGTCTTTTAAAATACACTTGAAATGATATTTTCAGAAAAATTAACTGCAACTGCATTTGAAATCTTCAAGAATAATGTCCCACTCCTACGACTTAAGAAAATGAAGCACCCCACTTCCCACTAGAAAAAAAAATAGCTTCACTGGACAAGACTTCACCGGACAATAAAATATGCTCTTATCGGACAACAAAGGAATTTGAAAGTCCCAATATTCAATCAATCTTCAATCTTCATCAAGAACACACAATAAATGGCAATTTCAAGATTATGATACTTGAGAGAGAAAGTCAACAAGTCAAAGTCTTGTTTATATCATCAAAGCTCACTATTACAAGGTTAATGACAATTAAGCTCTCTTACTCTATTAACAAAGAAACTAATCTTATTTATAGGTCTAACCAAAACAACATAAAAAAGAATACTTTCAAGAATGAATACAACATATAAGCTCTAAAATTCAAACCTAACAGAATTACTTCACCAGACATAGAACTTACACTTCACTGGACAAAGAGATGTCCGATGAGAGAGTAATGGATAATAAGGTATCCGATGAGAAGGTTAACGGATAGACTTGACCGATGATAAATATGAACGATAAGACAGTATCCGGACAAGTCAAAAATTTGAGCAATAACAAACGATGAATAGAGTCTCTGGATGACTCTTTGTACGATAACAATTGTTATCGGACAATGCTATCCGATGAGCAACAAAATCAATATAGTGGACAATGCTTATCCGGTTAAAGCTCAAGCGATGATCAAATCAAAAATATACAAGTCTCAAGTAGTGAACGATAACAAAGATAAATGATGATTAAAGACTTAATCAAATTCAACAGCCGGTGAACGACTCTTTATCGGATGTTGAAGATTCAACGTCCGATGAACATGAATACTTAACTCCAAAAATTAGATAGTCGTTCAAAATCACTCAAAAATTGCAACTTGAACGCATTTTCTTGCACAGAATGGTTCGAAAATAATGCATAAGCCAATTGAACAAAAACCAATATATCAAAAATTGATCAAACAAATGAATTTTGACAAAATTATGCAAGACCAAAACAAAGAAGTCTTGAAGAACACGATTCAAGAAATTCGAACACAATTTGATCTCAAATCCAATCCAGTCTTTTCTGATTTAGCTTTGATACCAATTGTGATCCCAGATTCAAGTCTAAACAATTAATTCAATACTCAATGATCAAGAACGTAGATGAAGATATGAATGATTCTGTCAAAAGGTTCACTCTCAATCTCACTATGTCAAAGATACGGATGAATGATTTTGTCAAAAGGTTAACTACCAAAACTACCAAGGTGCTATTTATAGCAGCTCCTAAAACAAGAAAGATAACCAACTACCTTTACAAACTATAAAAGGAAACAATATTACAAAGCATATTAAAATATTTTAGCACCGGGACTTGAATACAACATTTTTGTTCCAACATTTCCAAACCTGAAAAAAAATGTTGCGGAACTGATTTCGGGGTTACGAACCTATATATAAAGTAGAATCTCTATTTCATATGCACACAAAGTCTATAGCATATAAGCTTAAAAAACATTGTGTAATTCTTATTTTTTGTTGTAGAAGTTAGTGTACCAAATGATAGAGAGAATTTACACCCTCATAGTGCCATGGAGGATAGGGAGGACGTTGAGGTTTTAAGGATTTTATCGAATATTTCATTGGACATTGATATTCGTTCTCCGGGACTACTTAGACCGGAAGAGTGTCCACATGGGTTTTTCGTGTTATACGAATACCCTTTTAAGGTAGCATTTGAATGGCCTTACTCTGCACTTGTTAGGTCATTCTTTACGAGGTTTGGTCTTTCATCGGGGCAACTGTTGCCTAATTCTGGCGAATCATGAGCATGATTGACCGTTTAATGGCTGATTGGGAGTCGTCGTTTACAACTCATGAGTTGTTGAAGGCGTATTATGTCAAGCCGGAGATCAATAACCAGTACAGTCTCTTCAAACATGCCCGAGGTTATTGGACCGTGGTTCAGGGTACGACTGGCAATGATCTTAAGTGGAAAACAAGATATGTCTTCTGAAAATTGTTGTCATTAGAAGACGACAATCAGTGGTTGATCTTTGGATGGAACATTGAGGGTAAGCTTAGCTTTTTAGATTTGTAGTAGTTTTATAATTTAGATAAGAACTAACGTTATTTTTCCTTTTGCAGATCAAATTTTCTATGGTACAATCTTTGGCGGATTCGATATCCAAGGTTGAAAAGTTTTTGGCGATCAAGGATTGCAAATTTTACCCTCGGGCCAGGTTTTTGGTTGACGAAGAAGATAACGACGACTTGATCTACTTGGGGACCTTAGAATCCTTAGTCGCGAGGGAAGAGGAAGAAGAAGAGGAGAAAGTGAGAGAAGAGATGATGGGTGAGTAAAACCCTTTCTTTTACTCGATCGCTAGTTTTATTCTTCCTCTTTTTCTCAATTTTTGCTCTTAATTTCAGAAGAGTCTCTCGAGAAGGTGTCGAGTACTCTCTCTAAGAGGGATAAGGCTCTGTTCCTTGCCCAAAAGGGCAGGGATTTGAAAAGGAAGGCCTTGCCAATGACTCAGGTGCTAAAAAGTCGAAGGTGGATTCTGCAAAGAACCATCTTCAAGGACTAATGACCCACCTGTGGTCTTTGTTTCAGAGAAGGTGATGATGCCTTCTGTCGTGGTGGATGCTACGCCAATTAGTTCACCCCCTCCATCAAAATATCCTTATGAAGGACAAGAGGAAATCCGTTCAAGTCGATAAGGATTTGAACTTCTCGACGATAAGGATTAGGTTGTCGTCTGACTACATGAAGGACGACACATTGGATAGGAAGAAACGTTTTCCATCTCACAACCAGTTTTTGACCCTTATCTTCTGTGACCGGTATGATATTGTCTCGGTCAATGACATAGAGAGCCATGTCGTAAGGCTCTCTTTCATAGTAAGTTATTTTTCCTTTGTCATTTTGTCTCTCTTATGATGATCGTGTGATTTTAACTTTTAACATGCATTTTATGCAGGCATTCCAAGCTTCTCTCTACCTCCATGCTTGCATGGATAAGGTTGGAGAGGTGGTGCCAAGGGCTCTAGCAAGGGAGTGGGAGGCCCTTGCTAAGTAACAGGTGAGACGGCCAAATGTGAAGAGATCCCCGTCCGACTAGACGACCTCTCAACCATTTGGAGGAGGAGGTTCGTGCCATGGAAGACATGAGGAGGCATCTAGGTCAGGCGCTCGACAAGGCATCTGCGTCTAAGGCGAAGTTGGTGATGACTAAGGACACCCTACCTGGAAAAAAAAGCTTGGGTCATTGAATATGTTGATCCTCTCTCTCATTGATTTGATGATAATCCCTTTTACCTATTTGAAAGTATTATGTTTCTGTTCTTTCAATTTTAGCAATCATCACTGAGTCTGTTAAGTGATCGCTGAAACATTTATTGTAAATCCTACAGCAACAGCGATACTTTAAGAAGACAAAATTCACACCAAAGAACCTTCAGTGAAAGTCGAAGACTAAAACTAAAGATTAGTAACTGGCGCGTTCGTGATCTGAAGTGGCATTCAGTGATTACAACCTGGTCAACATATGTGTGAAGACTGCCCAAGCCTCAGCGAATGCTAAAGAGACCTTAAGTGTTGTTCCAACATTCAGTGATCAAATGAAGCTTGTTGTGTAAGATTTTTTTTGTCTTGTCCTTCCACACACACAAAACAATCCCATACCCTTTCTGGAGTATAGTACAGCATAGAGCCGACTAGTTGACTCTAGTACCCACCAACTCCATGAAAAGATGTATGCTCATGAATAGGCAACTGTACTATTCACTGTAGCAAAGGACAAGCTTTCCTCCAAAAGCTTGACGCATGTTCAAACCTTTCTGAATTGCATTTAATGAAATGGGTATAAATAGATGAGTGCACTCTCCATGCAAGAGAGACAAACACACACACCAATATTTGCATACATCCAAAAGCAAGTTAGAATTCTCTCAAAGTATTCTAAAAGTTCTTACATAAGAAGAACATCATTCCTTTTTTATCTTCCAACAAATCTTTTCTATTTTGATAAGAATATTTGTGTGTACACTCAGATTGTTTTAGATAAGTTATCTTTACCTTGTTTATTTTTGCATACAATCTGCAAAAACCTGTATTGACCTTTCTTTAGCAATATATATTTCTAAATTTGAAAGTTTTCTATGTTTTTATTCATCCCCTCCCTTCTACAAACTATTCGTTTAAAACTCTTTTAGACCCATCCGGGACCAATGGAATCGAACCTGGAGGTGGCTGAAAAGGAGATTTTAGACCTCAAGGAGAGGTTGGAGGAGAATGAGACATTTTCTTGCCTCAAGGTGCCGGCGATGATCATGTGTTGCCACTTGGCGGGGAAGGATCTACTTAAGCCTACCCAAGAGGAATTTGGATACTTCCATAAGTCGATTAGAACCGAAGAAGATCTAGATTTCGATGATCAGAAGGAAGAGAACAATGGGGTGCCTCTACCGTCGCCGCTCCTAACGTCATGACTGAAGCTATGCAAGAACAACCTGCTTCTTAGCCTAGTTTTATCTTTCTTGTATTCTGTCTTTTATCAGGGACACCTTTAGTCATCATGCCCTATGCTTGTATTCTTTTGAATGTTAATACAAGTCGCTTTTCTTTGTAAACGTTTGTTTTACTCAAGACTTGGTATAAAATAATCATGAATTTAACTGTTGATGAGTTGATTTATATATATCCTTAGAAGGATTACAAACAATTTGCTTAAGTAACTTGCAACAATCATAACAACTATGCCATGACTTTTTCTTATGTTTAAATCATAAGATTTCTTGTATCCGTTTAGGGCTTTGGTCACCCAAATGATCATTTAAATGGGTCGTAAGTTTTCCTCGACCATGTCTTCCGGATCGTGAGTTCCTATGACAAAGCAATATTACCGGTGGTCATTGGCTAAACCGATGATCCTCCGATGCTTAGGTTAGTAATATTCGTTATAATAATTAATCAAAGATAAATTTAAAATAAATACTTCTTTAAATGTACTACATTCCAACTAYGTGGGATGTCTTGTCCGTCTAGAGTTTGTAGTTTATAAGCTTCTTTCCTAAGATTTTAGATATTCGACATGGTCCTTCCCATTTAGTGGATAACTTACCTGCATTTGATTCCTTTGTATTTGGGAATACATGTCGTAAGATGTGGTTGCCTTCTTCGAATATCTTTGCTTTCACATTTTTGTTGAAATGTCGAGCGACCACTTCTTGTTGTGAAGGCATTTTGATTAAAGCTGATTCCTTTAGTTCTCCAAGTGCGTCGAGGTCATAACCTAGGTTGCCTGAGCTATGATCAACAATCATATGTCGTGCGACAGGGAGGCTTACTTCAACCGGTAAAACAGCTTTACATCCATATAATAAAGAAAAGGGAATCTGACCTGTTGAAGGTTGAGGGGTCGTGTGATTGGCCCGAAGAACTGATGAAAGTTCTTCGGCCCACTTACCTTTTGCGTCCATAAGCCTTTTAATTATAGAATTTATAATGACCTTATTGCTTAATTCTGCTAATCCGTTTGACTAAGGATAACGAGGTGTCAATGTCATAAGTTTGATATTATGATCTCCACAGTCTCGTCGAGTTCTGTCCCTGATGAATTGTAATCTATTGTCATAGATGATTTCAAAAGGAATACCAAACCTGTATATGATGTTAGTCTAGATGAAAAAATACCTCTTTATCCCGAATTTGGGAGAAAGCGTCAACTTTTATACATTTTGAGAAATAACCTGCAAGAACTAGTAGAAATACCTTTTGCCCTAGGGTTGGAGGTAATTTTCCAACTATATCCATCCCCCATCGCATGAAAGGCCATGGGACTAGCAACGTGTGTAAGGATTCATAAGGTCGATGGGTCATACTTGAGTATCACTGGCAGGCGTCACAACTTTGAACATATTAAATGGCTTCTTGTCGTAAAGTAGGCCAATAGTAGCCTTGTTGTGATATCCTGTTCGCTAGACTTGGATATCTGGAGTGCTTACCGTATTCCTCGTTGTGCATTTCTAGAAGAATGTCCTCAGTTCGACTATCGGTGACACAACACAAGTTTAAACTCATTGATGATCTCTTTTAGAGTTTGTTGGAAATCACGACATACCTAGATTCTTTGAATCGGATTCGTCGACTTCCAACTTGTCTTTGGGGAGATGATCGTACATTAAATAATTTTTTTATCACTCTTGTCCGCTCGTCTGAACGAGGGTTCGATCATTGTCTTCGATAGAAGGTGACGTCAAATGTACTAATGGACGACATCAAAGAAGACTTTTTTAATGCTGACCTAAGTTGCCTAAGGCGTCAGCTTGAGTGTTCTGATCTCTTAGGATCTGCTGAATGGAGAATGGATCGAACATTTCTGCCTTTTCCTTGGCTATCTTAAGATAGGCCGTCATTTTGCAGTCTTTTGTCGCAAACTCTCCTTTTATCTAGTTGACCACCAAGAGAGAGTCATTTATGGCTTGTAGACTTGTTGTTCTGAGGTCGTGAGCCAAATTCATTCCTTCAATTAATGCTTCATATTCTGCTTCGTTGTTCGTTGCTTTAAAATCACTACATATTGAGTATACCATTATGCCCCCTCAGGTGACTTCAGAATGATGCCAAGTTTTACCCCTCTGATGTTAGATGATCTGCTGACATGTAGTGTCCATAGACTATCGTCTTTAGTCTCCATAGAGAGTATTTTAGTGATCGCCTATTTTTCCAGCTTTGGACTGAAGTCAACAACAAAATCCGCAAGGACTTTAGATTTAATCGCAGTTCTCAGCTTCAAGCTTATGTCGTAACTACTAAGATAAATGCTTCAGTTTTCCAATCGCCCTGTGAACTCTGGTTTTCTSAAGAACAAATCTTAAGTGGATAGTTAGTTACAACAGAGATAGCATGATATTCAAAGTAATGACACAATTTCTTAGAACGGTTAGTAGCGACAAGTGTATTTTCTCGAAAATAAGGAATATCGCTTCTCAATATCAAGTAAAGATTTACTAACATAATATATAGGTAACTTTTATCGTTCTCTCGTGTAAGGAYGACACTTATAACATTCATACTTATAGACAAGTAGAGTTGCAATGYTTCACCGTCTTTAGTCTCGATTTAAAAGTGGTAACGACATATATTTTTTTTCAATTCTTGTAATGCCTTCTCGTGGTCATCCGACCAATGAAACACTTTGTTTTTCCTTAGGACATTATACAATAAATACGCTTATCATAGGACCAAGAGATGAACCTGTTTAGAGCCACGATGCGGCCCGTAAGCCGTTGTACTTCTAAATTTCTTGGTGATTGGAYGTTTATAATATCCTTGATTTGATCAGGATTTGCTTCAATGATCTCTCGAGTGACCATATGTCCTAAGAAYTTTCTAGAATATACGCCGAATGAGCACTTAGTAGGATTCAATTTCATCTGATACTGTCGAAGGACATCGAGCGACTATTTTATATGGCTGATATGGTTGTCTATCGCGTTCTTGGATTTCACGAGCATGTCATTGATATTAACCTCCATTTATTAGATGAAATGTTTTTTGAACATTTTTTACTAATCATTGATATATTGAACCTACATTTTTAAGACCAAATGACTTTACCTTGTAACAATAAATGTCTTTGCCTATTATGAACACCGTCTTTTCTTGGTCTGAGAGATTAATGTTCCCAGATCTAACAGCAAATCAAGTTACAAAATGTTTAGAGAGAATAAAGATGAAACAGATCATGATGAATCAACCAATGCCTTATTCATGAAAACTGGAAATTACAAAACATCTTTCTCACACTATACGACTCTCATGAGAATGATTACAAGAATGACTGAACAATGATTCACCCTAAAAACTATGACCATGACGCCTATATATAGGGTCATTTATATGAAAGCCCAATTGCCCTTAAGCCCAAATACAAAGATTATTACAATACAATCCAATACAAATGACATTATAAAACATTCTAATATTTAGGACTATTTTGGTCCTAACAATCTCCTCCCAAAGTTTTATAAAGCAATAATCTCTTAAGCCTTCAAATCTTCTCCCGCTGCTTTCTTTTAGAAAACTTTGGTGTGCCAGACTTTAAGGACTTCTTCAAGATCCCCCCCCCCCTGAATAAAGCTCTTATTCTTCAGTTTTGACTTTAGTATATGATTCAATGTGAATTCAGCACCATTGATTGCACACTCTACAACTTCAATTGCAGTTAACTTAAGACAACCTTGAACCTCAGAGTTATTGCTGGCCCACGAGCAACTAATTCATCCAACTATGGGATAGATAAATGTGCAAGTTACGTTACACTTTAGTGCAAACAGTCTTATGATAAATAATCTTTCAATGAACCACAAGTTGAATAAGCATTCAACTTAATAACTTGATTCGATAAGCTCATAAAGTGGGATTTCAACATCAACTTGAATTACCAAAGAAAACACTTTTGACATTAAGATCCGGAGAGAAGTATCAACATTAAGAACATAGCTTCTGTGATAACTGGATTTTGGCTATCACCTGAGGTAATGAATACGTGATTATTTATTATATATGATTTAGTGACAGCAAGATAAATTGATATATTTGATCATGCTAGTATGTGAAATTATGTGCATAATGTAGATGTATGTATGAGAGCATATGTATACATGATATATATATATATATATACACACACATGCATGATATAGGGATGCATGGGTTGTGTGTGTGTGTGGTCGACCTTTCCTTTTAAGGAAAGGGTATAAAAGGAGGGCAAGGCCTCCAATCACTTCTCTTGCCATTTTCAAAACTATGAGAGTGAATTTTTAAAAAGTGTTGATCGGTTTACTTGTTGATTGAAGTTTGAAGTGTGGCTTCAAAAGAGTTTCTAAGATTAGTGGTTTATACTGCTTTTAAAATCTTCTTAGTTGTATAATTGATTGTATAGCCTTTCATCTGATTTGAAAAATAAAACATTGAGGTGTTATCCAGATTAGACTTAAACCGGCCAAGAGTCGAGCGGTTTAGTCTTAAACCGGACAAGGGTTGGGCGATTTAAACCCTAAATCGGAAAAGACTTGAGTGGGCTATAGATAAATCGCCTGGTGAAGTTGTCCGGATGGACTTAAACCGGTCAAGAGTCGAGCGGTTTAGTCTAAAACCGGACAATGATTGAGCGATTTATGAATATTGAGTTCATGTTAAATATTTTGAGCGGAGAAGTAGGAATACGACTAAATGGTGACCGGCTTATTTTTAAATCGGACAAAACTTTGATTTATGAGTTGTTCGGATTGGTAAATCGGACAAGTTATGTGAAGTATCATCCGAATTTGTTATCCGGACAAGGTTCACCGGATTAATGGTAAATCGGACAAGCCTTGGGCGATTTATTGTCATGATTTGGTAAATCGGCCAAGACTTGACCGGAGATGAAGTCCGGCCAAGCCTATTTTGACCGGATTTGCATTTTGACTTATTCATGGTTTATATATAATTATTCTTATATATAAAAGGAGAATTTTGAAAAAGATTATTTTCGAACTGATAATAATAATTGCATTGACTGCGGTCTAATTCTATATGGAATTGTTTTTATGAAATGTTTTGATGAAGAAATAAGGGTGGCATATCAAGGAGAGGTGTACCATGGGATAAGGGTGGCACATCAAGGAGAGGTGTACATTTGGATATAAGGGTGGCATTTGTATGTATGTGTTATATAATATAACTCTTACTATTATATCCTTTAACATTACTGTGGTCTGGAATCTTTATTTCCTTGTGACTTAAAGATTTAGGATCAGAGTTTTTATCGAAAATCATAATCTGAATGTTATAGAGAAGGGGATAACAGATTTGTGCTGAAACTTTGAATAAACCTTATTTGAGTGGAAAAAAGGTTTAAAGTGGCATTATGTTATTTGGTTAATATAAACCTGTTTAGAGTTGATGTATTATTTGCAAGCAGGGAATTTGGCTTGAAAAGTAACAAGATATTAGTACCAGGCCCTTACTTGATTCATATATTTGTGACATATATGAAAAGTTGTTTTATTTAAAAGTTTTGGTGATTTTCACACTGCAATAACATAAATAGGATAACTCACTAGACCTTTCGGTCTAAACCTCGTTTTGTATTTTTTTTTTTTTAAATATGTATTGCAGAAAGTGCTGAGGGTAAAGGGAAGGGGAAAATGTAATAATTTCCCTATATTCTTATCTGCATGAAGATTTATTGACGGCATGTATAGTTTTGTTAGATGGATCTGGTTTAGTGTAAGAATTGTATTTTGAATTTTTGGACCATGTATTTTGTACTGGTAGATTCTTGTACTAAGGGACCAATGTGATGTACAAACATGTATTTCTTGCATATGAAGTATATGCTACATGAGTTATGTGGAATGGGGCGTTACAGCTTCATAAACCACAAGTCAGCCAAGAAAGATAAGTTGATTTCCTTCAAACTTTCGGCAGACTGAATAACCAAAATTAGATCAAAAATTCCTAGACAGAAGAATGATTATCGGCACTCAGA